CCAGAGGGCTACTCCTCTTCCTTTCCACAGTCTAGGACTTTGGGACAACATTTCGGAACACCGTGGCCTTACGCAAGCCTCGTGGGTACTTTCCCCGCCTTTCGCCTTTAGGTGCTCTAGCCATGGGCTTAGAGCGAGGTTCCGTTGAGCCACGACAGGTATCCAAGTAGGTAGTGCCACCCACACTTGGACTGGGAGCATCGGCCAGTTGATCTCCCAGGGGAACTGGAGCCGGCTCTTGAACACTTCACCAAGCTGCCCCGCTTGTCGGTCTGTGTTCACTCTAGTCTTGGACTTCACAGTGGGCAGCTCATCACCCAACACTGGGTCTGGCCTTCCTGGGCCAAACTGGCCTTTCCTGGCCAAATTGGCTCCACTGCAGTCCTCCCCCTACTATACTTTTGGAGCTCACCAAACCCCCTAGGGTTTGGGAGACGAACTCTTTGGGCTTTCACCCTCTCAGGCTCGGACTCGGACTCGGCCTCGGACTCGGACTCGGCCTCGGACTCGGACTTGGACTCGGACTCGGACTCGGACTCGGTCTTGGCCTCGGCCTTGGTCTCAGTCTCGGTCTCGGTCTCGGTCTCGGTCTCGGTCCCGGCTCGGTCCCGGTCTCGGCCCCGGTCTCGGTCTCGACTTCGGACTCCATCTCGGGTCCATCTCGGACTCCATCTCGGACTCCATCTCGGGTCCATCTTGGACTCCATCTCGGGTCCATCTCGGGTCCATCTCGGAGTCCGTCTCGGGTCCGTCTCGGACTCAATCTCGGATCCATCTCGGGTCCACCTCGGACTCCACCTCGGACTCCACCTCAGACTCCACCTCGGACTCCATCTCGGGGTCCTTCTCGGACACTTCCATGTGTCATGCGTTGGTCCTTTTGGGTCCCTTTTTGGAGCCTTGCTTATTGCTCGCTTCGTGCTTATTCCTCGAGCACTTCGTTGGGAGTTCCACTCCCACTCTCGACCTTTTCAAGTCAGAGCTTTTAGTCCAAACGTGTTACGTTCGTTTGGCTTTCGCTTCGGCCACTACCACGTGGCGCCCTTCCGGCTCCACTTTGGGGTCTAGGGATTTTGTGTCTCACATCCATGTAGGAGATCCAGTTGACATGTTGAAGCTGATGAGATTGTAGCCATTGTTGACGGCAAGGCTGCCCGTGTCGAGATCGATCACGTAAGTGTACTCGATGAACCATGTTCTTCGCGGGGCAAAGACACACGTCGTGGAGAAGACGAGGAAGCCCACCTCGAGCACCCGGTACCAAAGCTTTGGATTCCCTGTCAAGCTGCTTAGAATGGAGAACCAATCCATGTCAGCCGAGACGAGTAATTCCAGGACCTCTGGAGTTACGACTGGCAGCTCCTCTTGGCCTTCGATTTTGATCCATGAGATAATCCCTGATCAATCCATTCAAAAGCAAAGCTTACATACCTCGATGAACACGGGATTCCCGACGAGAAGCCTCCAGAGGTCGAGATTGGGATAGAGGTGCAGGAGCTAGGTGCCAAGGCCATCCAGGTACGAATCAAAGGGGATGTAGATACAGTAATAGACGCTCTTGTAGCACAGCCATGTAGCTTTTCGTCGCGGCCTTGGAAAATCTTTATGGCTGTTAGGAATATTCTCAAGCCTGAGAATATCCCTTTTAGCGTAGTTCTATACTTGTTTGTTGGAAAAGTTCATAGGAAACACCAACACAAAGATAAAATACTTTCAGCTAAAATAAGTTATAAAATTAGCCCCCTGAAAAAGAATTGGAACTGAATTAGAAGGATATATGCAAATAGTTGTCCATGCGGAAGATTCTATTATCTAAATATTGATGGACCATTATTAGTTGTCATATTAAGTTGGAATGCAAATAAAATAAAAAGGCGTACTTTGTTTCATAGACAAATAAGTTAATATATATTTCAAATTTGATTAGAAGCTGCAAAAAATTGGCAAGCACCCATGGCATCTATGGTAGGTGCAATGGCTGTTTGAGTGGCCACAGTGAGGTAAACTTTCTCAAAGTTTAAAAACTTTGATTAGGGTGTATTTCAACTTGCATGTACACTTTATAAAGTAAATTTTTATTACTTAGGGATTTTTTCACTGGCTTTTTGTAACAAAGAGCCATACTCTTGCTAACAGGTGGTCAAATGATATCTATGACTTTGGAGAGGCCAGATGCGGCTCCCATAGAGATGGAAGGCTTGAAAAGCATCACCAAAATATTCTAAGCCTGTGTAATGATACTTACCGCGTGCAATGAGCAACTTAGTTCTTCGATTAGCTGATGGGAGGATGCTCAAACTTTCTTCCCATTTTGTCACAGGTTGGGACGTAAAAACAATCTGGCAGCTCGAGACAAAATCACCTGGTATTAAGCTGCGAAGGCTAATACATCAATCGATGACAATATAGCTTCAAGTTCTAGGATGCCAATCAGTAAGTTAGAGAGCAGTGTTTGATATTTCCCATCATTCTCTTGGTTTTGCCAGCTCCTTGTGGTAGTCCAAGGTGCTATAACCGAAGAAAAGCAAACATTCCATCCTTAATTATAAAAGAAAAACACTAGTGTTGCATTTCAGTTTGATGTTGCTTATATTATTGATATTATCTTTATGTGCATAGACATGTTTGGAGCTAGAAAAATCATGATAGTAGGAATCAAACATGCTCAATTTAACACATATCAGAATTTAAGCTAATGGATTCACAAGTTACCCTGTTGAGAAGAGAAACTCATCACCGTTAGGAAGATCTGGACAGCATCATCAATTAAACTTATTCTTAGTGCCATATAATTGTATGTAAACTATTCTATTTATAAGATATCCTAGGAAAAAGACAGTCATCTTGCTCCAAACATAACATTAATTTTTTAGAGCTAAGGAAAATCTGTCTCCTTTTATTTTTCCAAAAGCTATTTCACATAAGGATTTTGTAGTGATACGTCCAAGATTAACAATAGAGAATAATGAGATTGTATTCACATTGGCAACTAATAAACTACATGTTGAACAAAGAATAACGTAAGTTTTGTTGTTGGCAGTCCCAATGAGCAAAAGTTCCTGACAAAAGCAAAAAAGAACTCAAACTTGTTTCTTTTTCAAAACAGCTTTTTTAAAAAAAAAATTCACTATTTTTTACTTCAAATAGTGACATAATAAAAAATGGTATAAAGATGAAAGGATATGGAAAGTGTGGCTGTGTCATATCAATAAATGTGTTTTATTAATGTTTTGATTTTCTTTGCATTTTGTTTTCAAACTGGACATGCATCACCTGAATTTGGAATTAGAAAAACCATAAGTTACAGTAATATGCAGAAAATTGTCAATGCTATAGACACTATTATCTCAAATATTGATAGAGGAGATAATTATCCAACAATTTGGTCACATACTACTACATTACCATTATCAATAGGAATAGTAGTCATTAAAATATCACAGTTTGGAGGTACACCTCCAAGTTGTTCATCCAGTGGAAATACAAATAACATAAAAGGGCGTTCTATGTATGATGGACTTCATAGGTTGTTTAATAAATATAGATTCCAAATTTTAACCGAAGCTGCAAATTATGCAATAATAACTGCTAGCAAATATCAAATTTATTATAGTGAAGATGGCTCTTATGAAACTGAAAAAATTAATTATAAAACTAAAAGATTACAATCTATTATGGATTGTGATATATTTCAAAGTACTTTATATAGTGGTTCTAAATATAAACCACATCATACTTTATTCTCTAATGAATATTTATCATCACCAGACTTTAAAACCATTTTATTTCTACATTTGAATTGTAACTTAATTTTATATTTAAGACAATATAAAATTTGGCAAACTTTAACTATGAAAGAAAATGCTATAAAATGCTTTTTAAGATTACAAAATGATGGTAACCTTGTTTTGTATTCAGAATTAAATATAGTAGAATGGTCAATAAACATTTATTGTAAATCACAACCTAATTGTATTTCACCAACATTTCTTAGTTTACAAAATGATTGTAATTTAGTATTATATTCTTCAACTTCACCAAATATAAGATTATGGGCAACAAACACCCATTGTTAAAAATAGAATTGAAATTTTAATAAAAGTATTATCATGCAATAAAAAAATTCTTTATTTTTTAAGAGGTCTAAATACCCTTCTTCTAACACTATGTTTGCAACAAGATTAATATAATACAAATTTTATTAACTAGTCAAAGAAAAGAAGAAAAACTAAACATTGGAGCTGCTGTAGTACCTAAATATAGCACCACCTTTCTCCTTGATTAATAATTAGGGGGTCCATGTCTTTGCAAGCGAGATTCTGTTTACTCTCTCCTCTATAAGATACAAGTTTCAAAGGGTTGTGGTTCAGCTTACTTCTACTTTGCTCCATCCTCAAATTCTTTGTTACTAACGCTTGAGATTATCAGTCAACAATGATACCCACCATCCACCCATAATCCTGTTGTCCCATGCGCCTGCCATCTTCATGCTTGGAAAATGTAAAAATTCTTCAAAGATTCAAGAAAATCTGTATTTTCTATGAATGTAGCATTCCAGCTGACATGGTCTTTAACAGCACATTCTGGAGTCAGAAAAGTCACACAGGCCAGTCTGAGCAAACCATGATCCCTAACATTGAGTTCCACGCATCTGAATAATTATATGCAAGCTTTTCTATTTTAAGATAACAATGGTCTGTGAATATTAATCATATAGATAGGATATTTTAATTCCTGATGGTGTGTTTGACAAACAGTCTATTCCCACTGATCTGCAGCAATTTTGCCCGGCCAGACCGCACACCAGGTTTGAGAAGTAATGCTTAGCAGAAGCATAGGAGCATGTCAAAGCAATCTCGAAAATAAGCAAAAACTTGAAAGAAAGTTTTGATATCTGAATTTATTTAAGGATATCTTGCAAGAGATTGCGGACGAGTTCCAGCGATATCAATCGATAAGTTGGATTTATTTAATGATATGCAAATGGCTGCCTTGCTACCTTTGCCAACGAGAAATCAGCGGTTCTATTCAGAGATGTATTAAACTTGATCCAAGTTTTTCCGATCAAGCTCGCGGCCTCACAAAAATCTCGAATCGACGTGGAATAATCCATTCCAATTCGTCGAGAGACAAGCAACCTGATAAGCATTTAAGAGCTCTATTTCATGCTTCGGCCAGTTGCAGACGAGGAACTATGTTCATAGACTGGAGCTCCTGTAACAATGCTACCACTAAGATTCGGGACGCAAAGGAAAATGATGACTTACTTGGAACAGTAATTTGCATGCATACGGTAGCTTCATCGCGGCCATGTTCTCTCCGTTTTTACAGTACGAGCAGAAGTTCATTTTTAGTTTGTGGCTGTAATAGCCCAGCAAACCGCAGTTTGTGCACACCTGCCATTCAAACGCGTTGAGAACACGGAGAAAACAAGATGCACTAACCTGCACTTGAAACTGGTCGCTGGAAATCATCAAACGCTCCAGTATGAGCATGCTTGAGCCGTACGCGACGAGGCAGTCCCGTTCCATTTCCCCCAGCCTCAGACCTCCCTCTCGGCTTCTTCCTTCAGTAGGCTGCCTTGTCAATACTACACGAGGGCCTTGAGCCCGAGCGTGCATTTTATCCAAAACCTGCCACCAGAGATCATAGAAGATGAGAACCAACTAGTTAAAAGATACGTCTGTTTACCATGTGTTTTAGCTTTTGGTAGTAAATCGGACCCATGTAGATGTATGCTTGCAAAGGACACCCAGTGATACCTGCAATCGTATTGTATGTCATAACAAAGAGGCAATCAACCGTAAGATTACCTGAATAGATAAGGTCTTTACCACAGTAGCTGAACCCATGTTTGACAAGGGTGGCACTGATAAAGAAACAACAAAATAATTATAAGCCTCTGGTCATGAAGGTTGGAGCCAGGTTTACCTTATGGCTTCTACAGTATCAGCATGGCCACTGGGTTCACCGAAAGCGCTACCATAATGGTACTTTCCACTTTGAACGCCTGCTTTTCCTCCAAGCAGCTCAATCATCTTTCCCACGGTCATACGACTGCAACGCAATTTCAGTCATTGGAAACTAGATCTTCGCAAGTACCTTGGAAATCCGTGAGGATTCATGATAAGGTCCGGGCATACACCACGCTCTGTGAACGGGAAGTCCTGTTGCTCCACTATAGTTCCACATACACCTTTTTGCCCATGCCTGCTGCTAAACTTGTCTCCAAGCTACATGCCAGAACGAAATCAGTTGAGTCTGTAAAGCAAAGCCACAAACCTCGGGCCGCCGTGTGTGTCGAACTTGACACTTGATAACCATCTGCTGACTTTCGTTTGTAGTCAGCAAAACCTTGTCGACGATTGCACTTTCGCCAAGAGGTCCTTTGTAACGCTGGGGAGTAGGCCTATAGGCACTGCACAAAACATCCACGTCCACAGTGGTTTCGTTTAACACATTCCGTGTACCTGTCAGGCAAAGCTAGAGGATTTAAGAAAGTGGTCTTCACATCCTTCGGGCTCTCTTTGTTCACGAATATGTCCTTATCGTAAATTCTCTCCCCAACAGAAGCAATACCATCTTGATCAAGCAACTGTAGAATATATGGATGTAATTTGGAAGCTGATAAACGAGCATCTACCTGTGACGTCGCATGACCATGCTGTCGCGGAGCAACAATCCGATCCATTGTACGGTTTTCATACTTTCTAACCAGGCAACTGAACCTGAACAAGAAATCAAGTTCAATCAAGCAGCAAGTCGTGCTGCTTACTTTTTTAAAACGATGCAACGCCCAAATCCTCTGTCAAGTGAGGCCTTGTTCATGACAATTGCATCTTCAATATCATAACCACTGTAGCTCATAACCGCGACGCTTGCATTTTGACCAGCACCAAGTTTGTCATAGTTAACCTGGAATAAAAACAATTTAAAGAGTGAGACGGTGACAGATTAACAATACCAGCTCAATTGATTTGGTAGTGAGAAGTGGACGTTGCGGATAGACCAAAAGGTAGAGTAGCGTGTCTATTCTTTGAAGCTGCAAAGGTAGCAAGTCAGATTTGATCCGAGCGCAAGCTAGTACAACAGACCTGATTATAGGCTATATTACCCATCGCTTGTTTTCCCATAGCACACTAGATCAAGATCAGCATTAGCGTAGTAAAAATGTAGCACTAGGGGCACCTACCTGGTAAGTATTACGTGGCGATTGATTGTGATGGGGATAAGGGATCAGCCCAGCACATACGCCAAGAATTGTAAAAGGCTCGATCTCTATATGAGTGGTCGTAGAGTCTGCTTCTTTTTCATAAAGTGCTATCTGCCAACAAAACTAATTAGAGACACCATAGAGAAGCATGCATTGGCAACCAGAGCATTGTTTTCTTCGTTGACGTCCAGATACTCAACGAGTCCTTCTCTTAAGAAATCATCGAATGTACGAAAGCCATCCTGAAAATATAAAAAAGAGAGGGATCGTAAATTTCAAACACAAAAGAGGTACCTTTAACTCCTTCATGTGATGCTCCTTGATTCTTGATACACCATGGTCTGCGATCACCACAGGCCTGCAGACTCGTCCACCGTCTGAAGCAATATAAATGCAGCGCTGGCCGAAGCTAAGTTAGTCAGCAAACAATATACAAGAAACGGGTACCTGCTTTTCATTAACGAAAATGCTGACAAATTCTCCAATCTTTCCTGCCCGTCGAAGCTTCCTCATCAACGTCGCAAATTGCTGCATGCAAGAATAACGTAAGAAAAAAGTAACCGAGACGGAACATACCTGCGGGCGGCGATGAATACCGAGAATCGTACCGTTGAACATTACAAGAAACGCGTTTTTAGAGTGAAACTCTTCTCCGGACAGGAGGTTGATATCCTCCACTCCCAAATTGGTGCACTAATCATAAGAATGACATAAACTTAAAAAATACAAAAAAATTGTGTTTCCTTACCAGGTCAATCAGAGGCGCTTCCTCATCATCAGTCGTGATATGTGTCATTAGTGCCAAGTTTTTTGTGAGACCGCAACCTTCACCTTCAGGAGTGTCACAAGGACATAACATACCCCACTGAAAAACGAAAATTTAGAACATAATGTGTGGTCGACTTGAGTTGGCAAAACCTGGCTCGGCTGCAAAGATCTAGGACCGCTCACTTTTCTCGACTTCTCAAACTGAGACGCCACTCTCGTCATATGGCCTAGAGCAGCTATATATGAGAGCCTCGACACTACCTGCATTGATTTACATGTCATCCAAAGTAAAACAAAAACAAAAACAGGAAGAGATCGATCAACCTGCGTGACACCTTTCTTGTCCATCCTGAATCGCTTTACTGTCCAATTGCCACTAGAGATTGCATTTTCCAGTCCGCTTGTAAGCATGTCTGGTTTCAATGACTGCATCAAAAGAACAAAAAACCTTATTAATCTCTAGTGCAAACTGTACCAAAAACGCACCTTCGAAACGTCGTATTGAGAGGCACGGTTCATTTTGGATAGTGTGCGATCCACATTGCTCTTCAGCTCACTACAAGACCTTTTGAAGAGATCCTGGAAAAAGAATATAATCCTTTGCCAATGTAAGGGGAAGAAACACGAACCTCAAACAGCAAAGCAAGAAGCTGGCCAGCGAGTTCCAGTCGCTTGTTTCCAACATAGTCCTGGTTTGAATCATGTTAGCTGTACAAAGTCTTGACACAATGTACTTACCCTGTCGTCTACACACTCTTTATCAAGAATCGCTTCTAGCATCCGCCTGAGCATCAGTGCCACATAGATGCACTTTGGCCGGAAATCGTATCTATGAACCTAAACAAGGACGAGATTCTAAGCGCGTGGCCAACTGAGATCAACAAGGACTTACAGCTACATGGGCCAGAAAAACGTTTAACAAGATATCACGGGCTTCATCAACCTGGAACATAAGTTTTTCAGCTGGACTGCGTTTCAAATGGACATACCTTAGACTTAGTTTGCTTGCTGCCCCATTGTCTATTTACCCTGACCTGGAAAAGTTTTCCACAAGTTAACCACATGCGTGCATAATTACAAGTCAGACCTTTGTTCCAAGGTACTCAAGAGCTTGATGAGTTGTGTATACACCCAACGAAGCACATTCCTGCGACGGAAAGATTGTAGACAAGTTTTCAGAAAGTAAAAAATGAATTGACCTGCATGGAAGGAGCAAGTATCCCAGCGAACTTTGGATCCGTCCCGACCATCTGTATAATCTCTTGGTCACTCTCCATTCCCATAGCTTTCATGACCACAACTATGGGAACCTGCAAATTGCATCAGTAGTGATCTTTCCCAGGTAACATACTCACTTACGTCGTCGCTGAACACGTTTAGCTTTACATAGATTTTTTCATGCTTTATGATGATATTCGTCTTGCTTTTCCTCTCATGTGTACTGCTAGTGACAGAGGCTGTGACGCTGCAAGATCAACGTGAGTCATCTTAACAAAGGCGTCATTCAACACACCTCCCAGTGCTATCAGAGTCAATGATGATCCTGTTCTTGGAAAGTTGTTCTTGAATCAAAATCACCTGCCCGTCAAGAGATGTGTCAACTGAAAACAAGAGTTGGTCATACCTTCTCTGTTCCTTTCACAACAAAATAGCCACCGGGATCGAGCGGGCATTCTCCTGGGAACAAAAATCAAATGGAATTCAGCACCAAAGAAAAGCCAAAAGCTCTACCAAGCTTCGCAAGTTCAGCATCAGATTTTCCAGTAAGAATGCAACGAGAGCTCCTTAGCATCACTGGCATGCGTCCAATTACTTGTGCTCCCTGCAGTTTCAGCTTTGTAAGCTCTCCAAACAAATAGAAGGAATGAAAAAAGTAAAAAGACATTTGCACACCTGGCCATCCTTTCCCTTGCGAGTTATGATATCCTTGCCCCTTGTGTACTCGATATCAACACTGATAGGGGCAGAATACCTGATTATAGAACGAAAGCACTGTAAGCTCTCAGAACAAAAAGAAAGGCATTTCAAAGCAGAATGGAGAAAACGAAGAAGAAAAGAAAAAACCATACGTCATATCTCGCAAGCGGCACTGCTGCGGGGTAATATCCTGCCGAATGTAGTCTTGCTCGATCGATGGTGTTCCAACGAAAATGTCCAAAAACCTGAAGAGGATGTTCGTGAAGTATTGAAAGGTGTCACAAGCATACTTGATGTAAAAGTTGGGATCGACATCGCTAGTGATCTTCTCGTTTCCTTTGGCATGGATGATCTTCTTGATCTCGCAATTCACAAAGTAATTGTATGAATCGAGGTGCTGCTTCACAAGACCCCGGACCTACGAGCGCGAGCAAAAGAGAAAAAAAATCATGACTAAAAGAGAGGTCATACATACCTTGTGAAACGCTGGAAGAAGCTGGAACTTGTCCACAGCAGTTTTCACTGGCGCATCCAATCCAGCGTAGCTCCTAGAACACAAACATCAGCACCGATGGATCGCTCGCTCGATCACCTTACCCTTGCTCGGGAGACATCTGGTCCCAAAACCCTTCTAGGGTTCTTGAGAAGCAAATATCCCCGCTTGAAACATCTCCGGCATCGATCTAGCAGAACCCTAGCACCGCGGTGTCGCACTGGAAGAAGAAATCCTCGCGGAAAGACCTCCAATCTGCACAGACTCCCTTGATCTCCCGCCCAGCGTCGCATCAAACAAGCATTCCCTGGGATCGGGATCGCGATGCCTCGTGTAGGATCAATCCGGCAAATGCCGCAGCATGGAAATCCAGGTGAAGAGATTCCTGGCCGAGCGGCCCGCCAGATTGCCGCGCTCTCGCAAAAATCTTGGAAATACCACATGGTCGATCGAGCATATTCGCAGGAAAGAGCTCCATGGACGTGGAATCTCCTCAAGAACAAGCATTGCTAAATACTTATCGCTATAACAATTAAATGGTGGAAGTAATACAACAACAAAAAGCTAGAAATTCTCTTCTTTCGTTTCTTTCTCCTCTCGAGTTGAGAAGGAGAAAGGAATAGCTCTCTCCCTCTCTTCCTCTCTAAATGCCTCTACCTCCTAGTTAGTAAATAGTCTCTTGGTTCTTGGAAGAAACTTTTTCTCATGGTGTTCTTGTGGTGCTGTGGTGATGGATTTGTGATTTTCTCCTCCTCCTCTTCTTTGTATAAACAAATTGCGGCTGTGGCTTTGAAATCTTTGAGTGTGTGGCTGGCTGGCTGGAAGATCTATGGCGGTTGCCCAGCAAGAAAAAAAAAACGGAACAAAGAATGTACAAACAAATAGGAGCTATCTCTCTCTCTTTTCTCTCAATCTCTCAATCAATCCAGATCAGTCACTCCAGCACCGCCTCTGGAGGCGGAGGAAGATTGAGATCTAAGAGGAGGAGAGGAGGAAAGAGTATACCGTGTGCTCGGGACGAGGAAAGCGAGAGAGATTGGTGGTGGTGGAGCTGCTGATCCTGGCGTGGAGAGGAGCTCGTATCAGCCTCGTCCACCACCGACGAAGAAGAATCGCAATCGCTGTGCTGGGGGCCTAGCAGCGGGGCGGCGGCGGCGGCGGCGGTGGTGGCGGTGGCGGGCATCCAATCCAGCACCCTCCTCACCCTCTTGTTGCTGTTCTTGACGGTGCTGGCGATGACGTTCTTGGTGAAATCGCCATTCTCCACCATCCCTGCCCGATGATTCCCGCAGCTACTCGTGTAGCAATTGCTCGTGTTGTTAATCGTCATTGTCATGGTGTCCACCGCCGCCGCCGCCGCCGCCGCCACTACCGCCGCCTTGTTCTTCTTGACGACTGGCGTGGGCGTGTTGTAAGATTCCACCGTGCTGCTGTGGCTGGTGCTCTGGCGATCATCGCCGCCGCCCATACCAGCACCGCCACCGCCGCCGCCACCGCCACCAGCGCCGCCAGGGTAGAGCGATGGCGACATGGTCGAGAAATTGGTCTTGGCCTTTGCGCCTCGCAATGCCCGGGCCGCATTGTCGTAGGCCCGCGCCGCCTCCTCCGCGGTATCGAACGTCCCCAGCCATACCCTCACCTTCTTCCATGGATCTCTGATCTCCGCCGCGTATCGGCCCCATGGCCGCTTCCTCACGCCACGGAAATGCGCCCCTTGATCTTGCTGCTTCCCCGCCGCCGCCGCCGCCACACCCTTCCTGGGCGCCATCGCCAAGCCCTACCGGGGCATTCACCCCCAAAATGCCGCCCACCGATCAATCGATTGGGGGCGAGCGAGCGAGCGAGCGAGCGATGAATGGATCGGCGGCGCCTGGAATTGGATCTCCGACCTAGATCCAAGCGCCCCTAGCTATGGAGGAGAGGAAGAAGGAAGAACAAAAATGAGGATGATCGCAAGCGGCACGCACTGTGAAGAAACCGCAAAATGGGAGACGACAACATAAAAGGGCCGCCCTACTATAACTTAAATCACAGCTTAACCCACCCGGGTTTGGTTAAGCGGCATATTCGCCGGCAGGGGGAGAGAATATCCCGACACGCGGGCCGCGTCGCCGCCGTCCACGTGGGGACAAATCGCACCAGTCAAGCAGTGAGCGAGCCCCTTCTCCTATATAAAAGTTACGTCTTATTGTGTGGAGCCGCCCAGCAGCCATGGGAACACACTAGGCGAGCTTGGCAGACGCGCTGTTAACACCTCCACACCATTCTCCGTTACCTTATAGGCACAAGGCAAGCAAAAACAAAGAGCAAAGAAAAGAAAAGAGCTCCACACACGTTAGAACACTGTTCTAGCTGGAAGAAGTCGAGGAAGAAAAAGATTAAACTTTAAGCTCACACTCACCAGCAGTGTGTGCTCGAATTGCGCGCTGCGTTTGCCGTCAGCTGTTGCAGCAGTCCAGCCATCAGGCCACATTCTATCACGCCAAATCCCTGCGAGCAGCGGAGTTTTAGCAGCAGCATAGCAGTGGCACCAGAGTTTTATTTTCTCTTTTGTTTTCTTCTGCGATCAACCAAGGTCCTAAGTGCGAGTAAGCGAAGTTACGTACCTCTGTTGATCATCGGCTCAATTGTAAATATCTGACCGGCTTTCATCGTCCCGACTGCCTTGTTGTCTGCTCTAGACGGATGAGAAGGAAAGTTTTTTAAAAGAATTCACGAGGGACTCTCAAGGATACGTCCGTAGTGCGGTATGTTGGGTGCGCAGTGGAAGAGCTCGCCTATGCCGTGTCCACAATAAGATTTTACCTGTGGTTGGCATATTAGTCTCTCTCGAGAAGCGTTTAACGCGAAGCATATAAAAATACCCCACCACCGACAGGCCTGTCATTGCAGCGTGGCGGCTGATCACGTCTCCCACCTCGCGGTACCTCACTCCAGGTTTTACTGAAGAATACGAGTTTAGCTCAAATAGAGAATGATTAGTTTTGATCACCTATGGCAATGGCCTTCTCAAGACACTCGTAAGTGCTTTTGACCAGCTGCACTGATGCTTCATCGACTTGTCCAACGAAAAATGTCTCGTTAAGATCACCTACAGCAAACCAAGACGAGAATAAGCTTACACCGATCGAAGGAGCGACTAGTCCTCACCATGGCAGCCGTTCAAGTAAACGCTGACATCAACATTAACGATGTCGCCCTCTTCCAAGCGCCTGCGATGATAAAAGCATCAGCACACAGGCAAGATCTCGCGGTGTAGTTAGCTACCTTGCGTCTGGAATTCCATGGCAGATAACTTCATTCACTGATCTGCATAACAAAAGAAACAAACAAATTGTCAGCTGTGATCTACCGAACAGATGAAACATATACTAACGTGCAGCAAGACTTTGGAAAGAAGTGATAATTCAAAGGAGATGGATATCCGCCTACATAGAAAAGCAACCAAAAACGGGGGAAAAAGATTGAATGTTCTTCAGCCGTGAAACACATTGACATACCAGCTGCTATAGTCGCGTCATGGACAACTCTGTCGATGTCATCGGTCGTAACACCGGGCTTGATTGCTCTTGCAGCAGCGTCTAGCACTTCTCTGGCGACCTGCAATGAGAAGTCAAAACGGTTTTGTTTTTCGAGTAGAAACACAAAAACAAAACTGCACCTTGCAAGTCTCTCGCATTCTCTGGATTTGTTCTTGAGATTTTATCTGTGGAAGCACAAAATCACCAGCTTGCAGAGAGAAAAAAAAAAAGCCTTACCTCCACACTATTTTGCCATTTGCTCGCCGGTTCCTCTTTTGGAACCCCCTAGAGAAAGACAATTGTTAGAAAACGAAAGAACACAGCAGCACTTACATCAAGTGACCAATCGGGTCGACGAATATGGTTTGGTACAAGACGCCTTGGAGAAATAGGATATGGTCTCAAAGCTCTGGAAGCCAGAAGAACTTGTAAGTTGGAGAGACGGCTTTCGACCTATAGCTTACCCAGTCCAATCGAAGAAAGGAATCTCGGAAGCACGCGCTGATCCTTTACGTAGGCAGTATTGCCATCCTTGCTTCATAGCTTCCACTACTTGTTGATCGCTCCCAGATTTCTCAGGCAGCCCGCCTGCGTGAATCACCTTGTGTGTGCTCCACGCAGCTCTAAAGCAATCCTGCGAGCTGGGAGCATTTGTTAGCAAGGGCGCGAGAAGAGATGGAGGAGGAATTCCATACCAGAACGAGGCACTGGCCCAAGGAAGCTTGAGGTCTAAGCATTTGGGACACCTGTTGTGACGAAGAACACCATTCATTTCATTCATTCACGAAGAAATCGCAGCGATAATAACCGGAAGTGCGCGGGCTTGCTGCATCGCAAGCACGCCAGAGGCGAATCCTTGTCGAGCTCCTCCATAGATTTGCGCAATCGCAATGCGGAGGAGGCAGAGACTGGCGCGCGCCTTCTCACCTGCGCTAAAGCCCTAAACTTCTCCAAGAACCCTAACAAAGGCGGCATTTCTCCTCTTTCTTTAGTTCCATCCGGAGAGAAAAGTCTCCGAGAAAGCTTGGAAGATTGTGCGATGGGATCCGGGAGAGTTGAGCGCCAGATAGCATTCCAGTAGCTCTACCAGGTCGATTTGCCGCTGCCCGGTGATCATCTGGGACACGGATTCCTTGAAATCCCGGTAGGGATTGCTTGACAACACAGGAATCACGGAGCATTGGACATAATCTCCACTTCCTCTTCTTCTCCGTGACCTCGATCTTCTTCTTCTTCTCGCAACATCGCAGTCCCAGGGCTTGATCGACGCTTCCAAGATGTTGAGATTCTTGCTCCACGATGACGATGCTGGCGATCGATCCGACGATTCGAAGCAGCGGAAGGTCGACGAGGAGGACGGCGACGACGAGTATTGAGAAGAATGTAGGCTGCATCGATTTCTCCTGCCAAGAAGCTCTTCACGATCCTCGTCCTCCTCCGAGTTGGCCGGAGCTCGCTGTCCTCCTTGGATCGATCTTTCTTCTCGAAATATTTCCTCTTGGCAGCTCTTGATCATCTCGTGCTGTGATCGCCGACACCATCTCTTGATCACGAGCTTCCTCTTCCTCGTCGCGATCGCTCCTTCCTCCTCGCTCTTGCTCCTCAATTTCTCCTTGTTCTTCTTCCTCGCGGGCGCTGGATCGCTCCCCGATAATCCACTCCACAAGAATTGGGAAAAGATCCTACTACACCGTCTCCCCATGGATCTCTATCTCTAGGCTAGAAATGGGGAGGCTATCGGTCGATCAAACACTCCATTTCTATCGATCGATCCACATCAAGCCTGACTGCTACCAACGCATGCGCAACCCCGTACGAATTGGAACAGAGTATCGGTCAGGTAAGTACGTAACGTAACGTTGGTTGGATCTCCAATGCTCTAATCATTTCCTTTACCCCTTGGTACTTTTTCTTAGGTCAAGTTCGAAGCAAAAGGGGAACCCTAGGGTTAGGGTTTTGGGGACGCGATGGTGAGGAAGGGCGAGGCGGCAGCGGGCAAGACCAAGGCACCGGCATCGAAATCCAAGGACGCTGTGAGATCAGGTACTGGTCCCTCTGCTGCCGATCTACTGCTCGCCAGCATTGAGAAGAAATCCGAGAAGAATTCCGAGAAGAATACCGCGAGCAAGAGCAAGCCCAAGGCCGCAGCTCCTCCGACGAGCTCGTACACAGCTGGGATCGACTTGCCGCCGTCGGACGACGAGGAAGACGAGGTCGATAGCGGCGACGAGGTGAAAAAGGATGCCGGTCCAAGGCACGCGCGGGCTCTCAATCTCTCCGTCACGGACAAGGATCAGAAGAAGCGGGACAAGAAGGAGCAGGTCTTGGCCATGGCCGCGATGGCTGCCAAGCAAGAAGCTCTCAAGGACGACCAGAACGCGTTCTCGGTGGTGATTGGGACCAAGACGGCTGTCTTGGAAGGAGAAGAAGCTGCCGATGCCAACGTGAAGGATATCTCGATCGACAACTTCTCCGTCTCTGCCCGAGGCAAGGAGCTGCTAAAGAATGCGTCGGTGAAGATCTCGCACGGCAAGAGATACGGCCTTGTTGGTCCAAACGGCAAGGGAAAGTCGACGCTCTTGAAGCTCCTGGCGTGGAGGCAAATTCCAGTCCCGAAGAACATCGACATATTGCTGGTGGAACAGGAGATTGTTGGAGACGAGACCCCTGCGATACAGGCGGTGGTGGCTGCCGACCAGGAGCTTGTCAAGCTCAGGCAAGAGGCCGAGCGCTTAGAGAAGCTCTCGCTCGAGGATGACAATGAGGAAGACGAAGGAGGAGACAACCACCAAGAGCAGCTGACAACTGTGTATGAGAAGCTACGTGGTCTTGGATCAGATGCTGCCGAGTCTCGCGCCTCGAAAATTCTAGCCGGGCTGGGTTTTAACAAGGACATGCAAGTCCGATCGACGAAGTCCTTCAGTGGTGGGTGGAGAATGCGAATCTCTCTCGCGAGAGCTCTTTTCGTCCAGCCGACGCTGCTTCTTTTGGACGAGCCTACGAATCATTTGGACCTGCGGGCTGTGCTCTGGCTAGAAGAGTACCTGATGCGGTGGAAGAAGACGCTGGTGGTCGTTTCTCACGATCGAGACTTCCTCAACTCCGTCTGTACCGATATCATTCACCTCCATGACGAGCAGCTCCACGTCTACAGGGGCAATTTCGAAGCGTTCGAGCAGGCGTACGAGCAGAAGAGGACGGCAAACAACAAGAAGTTCGAGACGTTTGAGAAGCAGGAGAAAGCAGCCAAGCGCAGTGGAAACAGGGCAGCGATTGACAAGGTGAAGGACCGAGCCAAGTTCGCCGCAGCCAAAGAGGCCAAATCGCGAGGTAAAACGAAGGCCGGGGCAGCAGCGGAGGACGATGCCGTGGTCGAGAAGCCGCGCAAGTGGAGAGACTACACCGTAGAGTTCCATTTCCCGGAGCCAACGGAGCTCACACCGCCGCTCATGCAGCTCATCGACGTCCAGTTCAGCTACCCGAACAGAGACGACTTCAGCCTCAAGGAAGTGGACGTGGGGATAGACATGGGAACCAGGGTGGCGATCGTGGGACCGAATGGCGCTGGCAAGTCGACGCTGCTCAACCTTCTCGCCGGCGATTTGAAGCCGACACAGGGCGAGGCGAGGCGGAGCCAGAAGCTGAGAATAGGGAGGTACTCGCAGCACTTTGTGGATCTTCTCACCATGGACGAGACGCCCGTCCAGTACCTGCTGAGGCTTCATCCCGAGCAGGAAGGGCCGAGCAAACAGGAGGCAGTGCGTGCCAAGCTGGGCAAGTTCGGGCTCCCAAGCAGCAACCATCTCACTCCAATCGTCAAGCTCTCGGGGGGACAGAAGGCTCGGGTGGTTTTCACGTCCATCTCGATGTCCCGGCCTCACATTCTGCTGCTGGACGAGCCGACGAATCACCTGGACATGCAGAGCATCGACGCGCTGGCGGATGCCTTGGACGAGTTCACGGGCGGCGTGGTGCTCGTCAGCCATGACTCTCGGCTCATCTCCAGGGTGTGCGAGGAGGAGGAGAAGAGCGAGATCTGGGTGGTGGAGGACGGCAGCGTGAGGCGCTACCCGGGAAGTTTTGAGGACTACAAGACCGAGCTCATCAGGGAGATTGTCGCTGAAGTGGAGGAATAGACACACACACCCCACCAGGCTATAGTATAGTTCCAACAGCTTTGTGTTTAAAGAAGATAATAAGATCATCCTTGCTGATGTGCTATCCAGGCATTCAAAGTCAATGGTAGTCAATGGAAGTTCCGACTCTTTGACTTTCAAGATCTCATATTAACTGGATGTAAATTTTGTTGCTTGGGAGCTCATCTCGAGCACCTAAGAGATCTCGCTTGCGTTCACTTGACGACCGACTATAGAGTTTTGTATAACTTCTTTTGGGCACTACCCTTGCACCAACCTGCAAGTTTGTCAATACCAAAGCGCTAGTTCTCACCTAATGAAGAAGCGGCCAGCTGGTGAAGTCTTCATGTAGGCCTTGTCAATCCCCAGTAAAAACTGGTGGATTACGTACAGAGATCATGCATCAGATGACCAGTGAAGTTTTTGACAAACCCTTGTTTCGTCTCTTAAGGTTTGCTGCTGTGGAGATGTCAGGCGAAACGCTTCATTGCGATGAACGATGTGGCCTACTCAACTGCATTCCAAGATGGAGAGATGCAATTCGCACTGATACTGGACAGGATGCTATGAAACCTTGGCTGGTTTACAAGGTCCCATGAACAAGAGTCGGCTTACAGCCAAGCACCAGACCTGGCATTGCCACTCACAAAAAAGAGGACTTTATGATCATCTGTGAGGCTGACAATGAAGACTTTAGGACCCAGGCTGACGCAGAAAACCTTCTTCCCAACTCGGACTCATCAACAGAAGACCTTCAGTCTATGTGCAATTCTTCTCCAAGCCACTGTAAGCTGTACGTGTACTCTAATAGCTACATGCTTTGTGGACAGCAGCTAAAGGTGACGATGGACTGGAAAGGCCATGCAAATGAGCCATCTATGTATACCATATAGGAAATGGCATGTCTGAAGAGTTACAGACCAGCAATGACCATCATGGTAAGATGATCACTAGTGAGTTACTTGGGAGTGCTCAGTTGACTTTTCATTTTCTTTTAAACCAGAAATAGGTGGTTTTTTTTGGGTGGAAAAGTAGCACATTGATCAAGTTAACTTGGAAGGTAATGCGTAACTTATGTGATTATGGGATAAGATTTGAATATATTGTAATTGTGGATTTTTAGAACTTTGGGGGATAAATGCAAATAAAATAGTCATTAAATGCTTTATTTCGTTAAAGTGGAACTTATTCAGTAAAGTGGGACATTAATTAGCATGTGTCCACATGCCATTTCCTAGTACTTAATTAATATTTATTAATATTTCTATCAGTTTTTTAATTTATTTTTTATATTTCACAATATTATAACACAAAATCATATGAAAAGTTTTTAATTTATAAATTATAAAGCTAAAAATTCAATTTTTTATTGTTGTTATAAAAATGGCATGTGGCCACACACCATAAGTGGGATAATGAAAAGTTCCACTTTAACGAAATAAAGCATTTAAGAGTTCTTTTATTAAGCAATTGCCCCTTTTCCAGTTGGTTTAAGAGGAGAGAAATAAAGTGTATTACATGTGGTATTAGAGCAAATGGCACGGGTTTAATTCCCATTGATTAGTGGTTACTAAAAAGAATTATTTTATTTTTATTTTATTATTTTTACTTATTTTTTCCCTAAATTTAAAATTGTATATATTAGACATCCATGTGTATATCCTTCCTCTTTGTAAGACTACAATACGAGTGGATAACTAATTGCATCACATAGAATAACTAATCTACATAATAGAAGGATACACACAAAATTCTTAAAGATTTTCCTTCTACACTAGTGGTAAATTTATGTCAACTTATAAAAGTATGAGACTTTGTGTTAAAATAACTATTCTTTAAATTAATTTGTGGTTGTAAATTTTGGAGTTGTTAAATGATTTTTGCATTAAACTTTTTCTTTTGGCACTATTAAGAGTTGGGGATGATTTCTACTTCATCATCACTCCTTTCATCTTGGGTTTTAGATTTATCTCTTTTTTGTTAAGCTTTGGTTATGACACAAATGCTAGGTAGATCTTCTATATTTGACTATTTAACCTCAATGTATCTAACTGCAGGTTTTGTATCCTTAGGAAGTGTATCATTTTTGTTTGATGATTCAACATGATTATATGGCCTAAAATAGCAAGCAAGAGTCTTAGCTTGATTATACTCTTTTAGCCTTTTATATTTTCTTAGGTTTATTGTAACCTTTTAGTTGATCATATTTTCTAGGCCAATTCTAGTTTTTAGGCTTATATTCTTCATGGCTAAGTGGATAATCTAAAAATTATCCATATGCAGATAATCTCAATAGTCATCTTACCTTTCAGCATGCGAGTATTCACATTTGGCACTTCGATTATTATTGTAATCATTTTTCTTACAATAACTTTTATCATCAAGTGGATAGTTTTACGTACGTGTTGTTTTATCAACTCAAGTTGCCTATTAACCTTCTAGTTGTTTAAACAAGATTTTACATTCCTTAGCTAAATGCCCCTCTTTTTCTTACAAAATTGGCATTTGATCAATTAAAGTTTGCATTTTTCTTTGTTATGGCCTTTATTTTTGCATCTGGTACATT